GTATATGTGTGTATGTGTATATATATATACACTATACACCATATATATATCTCAGGGTCCAGGCACTCTCTTAGCTAAAATACCACTTTTTAACCTTAAGGATGTGCAATCTACTTTGGCAATACCAGACCAGAACTGGAAGAAAGTGGATAAAACTGGGAAAAGGCGAAAACGAGAGCGGCAACATTTCATTATTAAATGAGAATCCTTTCTGTATTCATTTTGCTAGCTGAATTTTTAAAATCTCTCATGTTTCTCAAGAGTGGCCTGTGGTATTTGAAGAGTTATGTGCTATTTATGTATTTTTGAGGGTAAACACGTCCTAATTATAACGGGGACGGCTGCCGTAGAGCAGGGTGTTTTATGTGCTGCAGCACGATGAAGATAATCCTGTTCTGAGCTGCAGAGTGAGAGATGAAAGAGCTGTAAAAAACCCGCGTTTGCAGAGCTGTGAAAAATCAGAAAGAAGTGGGGGAAAAATGACTGCGTGATTGTATAATGTTTCCCCGAGAGAAGAAATCTGAACTGAAATAATATCTGTATTTGTTTTGTCCCGTGCTCCCCCTGCAACCCTGTGCATCATCCAGCGCGGAGGCAGCCGCACTGTTTGACAAGTGAAGCGGGGTGAGGGAGGTTAAATGGGAGAAATAAGCACAGTGGCAGCCCTTGAGTTTGTTAAAACAGGTTGCTCATTCAGTTGCCTGCGACGTGCGAGGGAAGCACATGGCCATTTTGCCCAATCTGCAGGGGAGAGGCATGACAGCTTCTCCATCAGTTGCCTGCGACGTGCGAGGGAAGCACGTGGCCATTTCGCCCCGTCTGCAGGGGAGAGGCATGACAGCTTCCCCGATGGCTTGAAAGATGCCAAACATTTGGCTGATTCCCCAGCGAAACAATAGGAATCGCGCTGCCGACCGAGCTTCAGATTTGCGTGGGTGTGTAAACCCGGAGGAGTTAGTTCATCCCTTGCACCGTAAATTCAGTGTCATTCTGTATTTCAGCATCGTGGTCAGAATCCAGCAGCCTGAAGATGCAATTGGATAAATTAGTTGTCCACTCATGATCTTGTTTTTTTCCACCTCCACAGAAAATGAAGGAGTACCTGGAAGGCAGGAACCTGATAACCAAGCTCCAAGCCAAACACGACCTTCTTCAGAAGACCCTGGGAGAAAGTGAGTCTGGGACTGGTCGCTGCTGTTGGCTGGGCTGTTGCACTGATTCGGTTCATCAGCTGGGTGTCACGGCCTTGGGTTACTGGTGCAAAGTGGACATGCTCATGTTTTATGAATTTAGTTTTCTGATCTGCATGATGGAGAAGCCAAACGACCTGCATGGCTGCTTGAGGGAAAACGCTTAACGAGTCGCTAAGGTGCATGGCTCATTAGTTCAAATGGAGCGTGTGCCCGTTTGTTTGTCCTGTCCCCTCCCCAGACATGCACCATCTTCTCCCTTCGCAATCTGTTTTGGGGTAACCCTTGTGATTTACAGGTTACTGATCAATGCAGAAGTATTGCCGTGTTGGGCTGGTCAGAAGTTTGGTTTGCCTGGTGGTTTAGTTGCTGCTCACCTCTGTGGGTTTAACCCAAACCAGACAAATGTACCGGCTTTGATTAGGAGAGTAACAAATTTCAGAGCATGTAAAATATGTTGCATGTCTAGAGGGCATTAGGCAAGGGGCAGCAGCCAGAACTGAATATGCATTAGCTGCTAGCCTCAGAACAAAGGAGGATTTCTTTCCCTTCATGCTATGGGCAAATCTTGTTGGCCAAACACACTTCAACTATGCATCCAAGTTTCCATAGAAACATGCCTGCCTCATATTTGCAGAGGAGAAGGTTTTAACAGTCTAAATGTCAGGTCAAAAAATGGCTCAAGACATTCCTGGGTTTATACGCTGGAGCAGGGCTCGTGTGCTGATATGTAACTGAACTGGACTCCCCACAGTTTATGGTCTGCAAATCTTCTGAATGAAAACTCAAGCAGCATGTGGTCTCTGAAGTGTTTTGCTTTCAGTTTAAAAATGCACTATAAAAATAAAGTCCTTATTGCTGCGGTAATTAAGAGTTTCATGTTTATCAGACCCAAACCACGAGAAGGTAAGGGAAGGACGTTGCCGTCGCTTTGAGCTTTGCTGTCTAAAGTTGCCCATCTCTTCAGCTGTCCTGGAGAAAGAGTGGACGAAGCTAAAGATCTATGTCCTTAGGGTTTTTTTCTTCTGCCCCTAAATATCTCCGAGTGACACCCCTGCTGCCCCTGTGACTAATCCCATTCCCGGATCAGAGCTGACCCCCGCATACCGAGCCCTGTTTCCTCTTAACCTGCCTGCCCCTTGAACCCAGCTCCAGCTGTGGTGGGGGAAAAGAAGAGGAAATTAAATGCGATTTCTGTATTGCTCTGTAGATTTCAAGGCTGCTTCTGTTTTTTTCTGCGGTCGCGTTGCGATCCCAGAGCTTGCTTAGTCACTGTGTGAAGGGACCCAGTGTGTGTCGGGGTGAGCTCCAGCAGCGGCTGGAAAAAATCCCTTCTGTCATCTGGGAGATCAAAAGGAGCTGAGACAGGGAGGAACATTTTGTCTGCAAAAGCACCTTGGCGGGTTAATGGTATAAACTGGGGACAGTGCCTAGGCTTCTCCATAACATGTCACTTAATTGGGAAATGGGCAAATAAAATTCCTGGAGTCCTGGGAGCATGGTTAGCAGCTTTACTGAACTCAGTCCCTGGAAAATTCATGGGTTTGTTACCATTTTTATTCTTTTTTTGTCCCATTCTCAGGTGACATTTATTAGTCCACTTGCAAATTACCTTAATCTAAAGATGACAAGTTCTGGTAATAAAAATAGCAGCAAGTCTTCCTATCTACGAGTAATTATATCCCTGCCTACCCTACACATTTGTCACCCTAATGGAGGAGCCCCTCCATGTCATTTATATATATATGAATATTCCATGATGGAAATGGGACAGATGGCTGGGAACTCTGCTTCAGAATAACATTTTCATGTAAATTACACGCTGTTTTGGCTTTACGTGGGGAGAGGAAGGCGGCTATCGAGCTGTGTTCGACTAATTGTCAGCCATCAGCAATTAGACATTTCCCTCGTTCATTCTTCCACCGCCCCAGGAGCAGGAAGACGCTGTAGGGAAGGTGGATTTTCAGCTGTTGTAAATCAGAATGGTTTCACTGATGATGGTCTGTACAATTCCCCGAGGCGCACGCTAGTTTTCTGTCTCTCTTGCTCCTTGTTGTGCTGTTTTAAGGTGATGCCTGCGTTAGCAGTAGTCATTAGCTTGGCTGCTTCCTCGCAAACTCAGTGCACGTTAATGGAACATTTTTGTAAATATGTTTGTGGAAAATGTCATTAAACGTCTGTCTCCCAAAATAGCTCAATGCCAGTGCGTTCAGTCTGTGGGCTTGACAAATCCACGAATGTTTTCAGTCTTACCGAGTGGCTTTATAATCTCTCGCCCCACCGATTCCCCTGGGAAGGGGGTGGCAGGGAGAGGTTGACAAGCCCCGTTTTTTGGCAGCAGAAGTCAACAATTAGAATGCACGGGGAACTCATTTTCAAAACCAATATTTTTTCCCAAGAAAGAGTCCTGGGGCAGCCCGAGCTGTTTGCTGCGATTCCTGGTTGGCCGGGATGGGCTTTGGTGGGCTCCCAGCAGCGATCCTGGGGGAGGCAGCCACTGTCTGGGTCCCCACAGCCGCCCGCTCCCTCGCCGATGGTTTTCTCCTCCATCTCTTTCCAAAACTGCCATTACAAAGCCATTGAATGTATTTTCCCATTTCTCTCTCCTAATGCTGTATTTCTTTGTCTTCCCACCAGGTCAGCGGACTGACTGCTCCCTTGCCAGGTAGGTGTGGCTCGGGGGATCGTTTTCCAAGGAAAATCTGATGCAAATTGGTCGTGGCCATTCTAGATCAGTTACCAGCCCAGAATATGCATCTGTTAGATATTCATTTAGCTAATACATAAGCAAAAAATTCCTGCTTGCTAATATGGCTTTAGCTACCATCGCTGTTCCTCCATCAGAGCAGGGCGGTGGCCCAGCGTGTGCCTGTGCTCAGTAAGCTCTGCTCCGTGTTTCTCTTGGTGCGGTGCCTGCTAAAGCACCTCTCCTTGCTTGTCGCTGCCCTGTCTCGTGACCGTACCTGCTGGCAGGGCTGCTTGTTGCAACAGGTTGGGAAACTGGGGTTAAAAATAACCAAAGGAGGAAAAAAAAAAAAAAAAAAAAGATACATGGAGGTCTTGCACTTTTTCTTGCCCCAGGGTATTTAATCCAGATCAGGAAGGGGACGGGCAGGTGTGAGAAACTCTTTGATTTGGCTCTGTCACCCGGAGAAGTGTTCTTCAAACAAAGATTTTTATAAACCCAGTTGGATTTTTGTATGGGAGGTGGGCCTGTGGCTCTGCAGGGTTTATCCCCATGTTTGGTGTGTAGGGCTGAGTAACATGAATCCACAAACTCTCTGTCCCGTTGGCACCGGCTGTGCTGTGGAACTGGGTTGCAGCAGAATAGAGGTCATGGAGAAGAAACTTCTCATTTGTCATGAGGACCAATCCCAGAACCATAACTAAGCTTCTCCTGAAGGGGTTTTGATAAAACATAACAAATCTCCATCTCCAGATTGATGGATTCGAGGGGCTCCTGTGGGCGTAAGGAGCTGGAGTCGGGGCTGTGCATCATCCTGCCTCGTTAACAAAAGGAAGGTGATTACTGCCGATCTGGAGCCATTACACATTCCTTACAGCAAAGCAAAGCTGACAGGTCCTAATTAGAGCCTGACATCTGTAATAATAAAATATTATTCGTCATGAAACAATTTTAAATATCAAAGAATCATTACTGCTAATAGTTTAAAATAGACCTTATTGTCTGTGACAGCCTGTGGAATCGGATTTCTTTTTTTTTTTTTTTTCATTCAGAGTTTTTGATTTTTATAAAAGGAATTTCCCCTGAATTAACACATTGCACAGTCTTTTTAAAAATCACAGTTCTAATCACCTTATTTATAATTCAGCAGCCATCTGCCCTAGTAGGGAATTGGCTTGCATGATACATTAGGGCCTCTCTGCCATTGTCTCTCATGCTTCATTTTTACAACGAACTATAGGAATTTTAAACCCTGGTAATAAATTCTGGGGGGGGAAATCCTGGCAAAGGAAGACTTTTCCCCATTTTTCTACAATTAGTATCTCCTAAAAGAAATAAATCAGACCATCAGGGTTTACGGTGAAGAGGCTTAGCCTGGCGAGTGTGTGCTGGTGTTTGAGGGGGTTTGTGTTATTTCTTTATCTGGAGTCTTACCAGAAGCTGTAATAAGGACTCCAGGGTGGCTGCTGTTAGCAGCACAGTGGGAACCAGGCTGCTCCCACCTGCTTCTCCGCCGTCGAGTGGCTCTTTCGGAGAAGTGCTCTGTGCAATTTAGAACAAACTCCATCTTCACGAGGCGCCCTATAGGAGAGGTTTCCATATGGTTGGAATTAAAATGTCAGGGGTAATCTTTTGTCAAAGCAGTGGACTCCCTTGTGTCTGTTTCAGGTTTTTAGAGATTTAAAGTCACTTAAAATCTTTCTGACATTCCGTAAAGTGAATGAGACGAAGTCACTGTGATTGACTTGTGTATCTGGCTCCTTCCCTCCCCCAAAATACGCCTGGTTTGGAATAACGAATGAATGAAGCGATGATAGTAGAGGATTATTTTGACTTTTCTGTTCTGTTTTTCCCTCCTGCACCAATGGGTGGTTCTGATCTCCCCAGCGGCAGGCGCAGCTCCACCGTAAGGAAGCAGGTAATGACCATTGCCTTGAGTCACTGAGCAGGGGTGTGTGTGTGTGTTTGTGTAGGGGAGGATGGGTGGATGGATAACAGGGAAGTGCTTTTATCCTTCCCTCCCTCTCTGACATGGACCTTTTCAGTCTTGGTCCAGTGGAACTGGTGTCTGCTCATCCAGGAACTGAAATCAGTAAAACATAGATCCCCAGCCTTGATTCATTTTCTTTAACAAAATTTAAAAAGAATTTTACTCTGTGTTTTGACAGTCCTGGAAGATGTTGCACCTCACTTAGTGGATTGTGACCACAGGGTACTGATGAGCTAGGTTAAAGTTTGTGACAAAATAGCAGGAGTTTGATGCAATCCTGAAATGTTTGGTAATCAGACCAGAAACCAAACCCATCTGGAACTGCATGGAAGCAGAATATGGCAGACGAGAGGATAAATTTGCTTTCCTTTTTTTTTTTTTTTTTTCCACCATCACTCTGCATTCTGACTGCTCTTCTTTAAATTCCTCTTGGTGCAGGATTCCTCCCAAGCCATTCCCCTGGTCGTGGAGAGCTGCATACGGTTCATTAGCAGACACGGTGAGTTTATGGACAGAGGGCATCCTGTGGCATTTCTATAAAATGAGTGGTGATACAGAAGCCTTCTGAAAAACGTTCAGAGCAGTTTGGGACACGGTGCTTGCGCAGAGGAACCCTAGAGACCGCAATCTAAAGAAACTATCGCAGACTTGCTGGCGATATTGGTGGTATTGTGTGTGTGATCACTTTTCCAAATGGTTGTTGCAAATAACTGACCTTGTAAATGTTGTTCTTCCAGCAATAAGGTTTTTTCTTGTAAAATAAGGTTCCCATCCTCAGATACCACTCATGCCTGACCTCCACTCACTTTGCTTTGAGCCCTGAAGTGTGGCCTTCGCCAGCAGTGATCATGCTCTTCCTAGAGGAGGAGGAATACTCTTAAGTATTCGAATGAAGGAGGTCAAGTAGTGAATTAATTGCTTGCTGATTGCCCCAGTGAGATGATTTATACCTGTTTTGAAGGTTAACGTCAGAGCCTTGAATGCTGCAGAAGACTTTGTATGTTTATTGTAATTTGTTTTCATTTTTAATCGATATCATTTGTTAGTAGCATATGAAACAGCTGTTAATTAACATATGTAGAAAGAGGCTGAATTTATCTTCATTAACCACAGAGCCAGACAGGAGGTCCCGTTTCATTTTCCGTCTTTAATTACCATTTTAGAAACTATAATCTAGAGTCCCATTCTCATCACCACTTGGAAGAACCAAGTGCTCTAATCCTTCGTTAGGGCCGTACTTGGGACATTTGCTGGAAGAACCATTGAAACCCCATTGCGATGTGAACAGCACTGGGGCCATCGGGAGAGTTTATTTCTCAGACCCATATTCCCAGGTTAGCTAAGATCCCCAACAGAAAGATTTTCCAACAGACTCAACCGATTTTTGCTCTGAATGTCAGATCGTGGCCCTACAGGTACAGTTTGTAATGAGGAGGAATGTGCTTTTATACAACAAATCCACTTTAGGCAAGAAGAAATGGTAAAACCGCCTGCCTGACGCGCTTACATTGCAGGGATGAATTTTGTTGGAGGTAGCCTGACATTTCGAAATGCTTTGCTGCGTAGGTGTGGGATGAATGTCGTTTCCATTCTTGCTTCTCTGCGCTGGGGATTGTTTTCTTTTCGCGGTTCGTAGCTGTGTGTCACAGCTACCAGATCCAGCCACGCACTGCGAAGGTTTCATTGCTTTGGGATAAAAACGGATGCAGAACTTGAGAGGGAGAGACCACAGGTGCATTCAAAAGAGCTTTTTAGTTTATAGCCATTATTAGGAATAAAGGAAAGACGTTGCAGCATTCTGTGTTTTAGAAAATCTGCAGACTGAATGGGAGGCGGTTTCCCTGCGTGATTATTGGTGATGCTTGTTGCTCATCTTGCACGTACCAACAAAATTGTGGCGATGGTAGTACAGTGGAACACCTCACCTACTTGATAATTGGTTTTAATGATGTTTGCTAATGCTGAAATTTTAGCAAGAATGTTTTAAACACTACCCTGAAACCCTAGATAGCGGGGTAATGAAATGCTTCCGTTTCGTTTGGCTCTCGGTCTTTGCGGTGTCGCTCTGGCAAAATAAACCACTTCATTGTGTAGTTAGCTGTATTTTACTTCTGGCTGATATACTGTTAGTTTATGACTTTCTCTGGGCTGTAAAATCCTTTGGAGATCCTGCAGGGTGAAGGATAACATGCGTGGCCGTTGTAACCCCGTTACTCTGTCAGTTGGTGAAGAAGGGTTCATATTTTTTCTCCGTGGTGCTGAGCTCTGTTTTTACGTATTCTGTGTGTGTCTGGACATATAAGGGAAAGATAGCTTTTAAAACAGCGTACCTCTGCCCGTGTTGCTTGTGTTTCCTGTATCATATGTGCTGTAGCTGATGAAGGTGCCGGCTTATCCTATCTTAGTGTTATCAGCATCTCCTCTTGTCTTACAGGTTTGCAGCACGAAGGGATATTCCGAGTGTCTGGGTCACAAGTTGAAGTGAATGACATAAAGAATGCATTTGAGAGAGGTAAGGAGGATCTCGGAAATGTGTTAATTTGTTTAAATGTTCTGAAACGGCGTGTTTTGAATGCAGCCTGCTGTATTTGGTTCCTTTGATTTTTGTGTTTCCTAGGTGGGTCAAGCCCAGACACCTTTCCAGTGCTCATTAACCTTCACCATTCAGTTGTTTGACATTGTGCTTTATATCTTGTAGGGTGTCTGTATAATAAATATTCTGGATTCAATCTTCTCTCATGTCTGATAGTTTATTGATTATTTGTAACACCAAGGGATGTAGAGAATTTCATTACTGGGTGTAACTGCCTTTTCCTACCCTCTCCCCCCAGCTCTTTGTGAGCAGGCTGGCTGCTAGAGGCTGAAATTCTGTGTTTGCTGTGTTCTTGAGGCACAGCTTGGCTACATTTATTCTAAATATCAGCAAGGGAGAGGGTAAATTTCAAGACACTGTTAATTTGACATAGCTTTTAATAGATGCTATGTGAAGAGCCATTCCATACAAAGGCAAAGAATGGCTGGGAGCCTCCTGAGTCATCGGCTTCTCGCTGGGCTGTTCTCCCTCGCGGAGCAGGTTCAGGAGAGCTCGCTCTTCAGGCAGCCTTGCAGCCCATCTGCCCAGCCTCGCTTGGGTCCCTGGAAACAACAGGGCTCGTGTTAATTCCCTGAATACATCCCTCTGAAGGAACATAGTCAGTGTGTTTCTGTGCTTGCTGTTGGAAGACACGAGCAGTAATTACTTAGGCATAGCGAGTTTATTTTGCTTTGGGGAGGAAAGGAGTTTATGGATAGCGTGTATAGAACACGGCGTCTAATTTTGCCTGTCTTCATCTCCATCTGGCTGAGAATTGAAATCCTCAAGGATAGAGGATGCAGAAATGTGTATCATAGGCTGCAGGTAAAGGCTTGATACCAGAATGAAAGACCTTTTTTTTTTTTTAAATAAAGGACATACCAGTCATCAAAACAGCAGGTTGTTCCAGCACTAACATGCAGAAATAAAAAGGTGGTTTTGGTTTTGGGGTTTTTTGCTTCATCTCACTTGTCTCTGTAAAGCATATGATGTACAGAACTGACAAAGTTAACAATAATGTTTCTGCAGTTTATTACTTCATCCAGAACCCTTGGTGGCAGTTAATATCGAGGATAATGCTCCGGTTTGTAGTGGCCCATTTATTATCCTGTGTGTTATTAAGATAATAGGCAAGCTTTGGTCATTTCAGTCACATAATGGATATATATAGCTTCAATTTGAGGATTGCCCCATCGTTAAATCTAATTATAGCTGATAGGGAGTTTTCCCTAGGGAGCAACTCCTTAAGTGGGCATCTTTTCTTTTGTAATACAGACAAACCGTGGCGTATCTGCAGTGACAAATTATCTGTTCCAGAAACACTCCCCCTCCCCTCCCCGGCCAATTCAACGTCACACGTCTGCATCCTGCTGAGCCAAGAGCACGATGCTCCGGGGGCTCTTGCGCGTGCACTGAATCCATTTTAGCATCAGTTCGGAGTTTGCATAAAGACCCGCTCCTGGACTTACGTAATGGTCACCTCTGTGGTGGCTCGGTGACATTCGCACCCTGCCAGAATGTCTGGAAGTGTCCCCACCGCTCCAGGAGCATCCCCTGCTCCGTGGGCGCGAGCCAGGCGCGCCGGTGTCAGGCTGCGATCTGCTTGATAGGAACCTGTCCCCGGTCTCCTGGGGTCACTGTCACACGCTTCCCCGCCCGGCTGCGATGCGCAGGGGACATCTCTCTCTACCTCGCTCTGGTTGTAGCGCTGTTGGAGGAGGTGGGATTAGCTTTGTGCTGTGGAAATCCTCCCAGTCTGGTTCTTTTCTCCAGTGTTGTGATTTTTTCCCCTCTTTTATTTTGCTTGTCATGAAGGGGAAGATCCATTGGCTGGGGACCAGAATGACCACGACATGGATTCAATAGCAGGAGTTCTGAAGCTCTATTTTCGAGGGCTGGAGCATCCTCTCTTCCCCAAGGATATCTTCCATGATCTGATCGCCTGTGTCAGTAAGTACATGAAGATCTGAAAAGAAATAGGATTGATTTTCCCAATCCCATCTTCCACTTTCCTCTCTCCCTCTCCCCCTTTTTCCTGGCTCCAAAATAATTTTTTTATGGTTATTTTGGTTGGGTTTGTGTTGCACTGGTATCCTAGGCGCTCTCAGCCAGGGGCTGGGTGTTTACCTGGTTATCCTCATTCTGATAGCAATTTTTTTATGAATGAGCAAGGAGATAGAAATGAGTAGATTATTAATTATGAGGGCAGAAACAGTCTAGTTGTTAACATTTCTGGTGGTTTCTAAAGGTGGTTTTGGTGGGCAGAGAGTTGTTTGTGTTTTTTTGTCTATGAGCAACCTAATTTTAAATGGCCTGACTATTGCCATGTCCTGCAGAATCAAAGAATGATTCTATTGTCCGAGTAGTGAAATAGCCTTTGCCTTGGCAGCCTTTGAAGTAAAGCAGAAGATAACAGCTTCTAAAATGACTCGTGGTTTTCTTCTCCTGACAAATGCATTAGCAGAGTTGAAGTCACATTATATGAAAAGAAAAATCTGCTTCCAAATACGTTCTCCCCTCTGAGATGATTTATGCTGCCCACTTATTTCTCAGTAGCTGCTGCACGCAGAGCCTTGTGCCTCACCCTTTAACTATGTTAATTTCCCTTGGAGTGTTATACAATTTCTTTCTTAAACACCCACCTTTCTAAGCTAGCTTGAATGAGCTATTGTGCCAGAACTACTGAAACAGATGACATCCAGTGCTCCCACGCTAGGAAGGAACTTGCAGTGAAGTTTCACGTGTTTCACGTCTTGACTCTGTGATGCTCTTTCTTCCCTTCAGCAATGGATAATTTGCAAGAGAGAGCTCTCCACATCCGGAAAGTGCTTCTGAACCTGCCGAAGACCACTCTGATTGTCATGAGATACCTCTTTGCGTTCCTAAATCAGTGAGTATCCTTGAGAGCACCACGACGCTGCTGTAGGACCTGGTTCTGCCATTTATCACGTCCATAGCAGCCTTAACGTTGCTGCGTGGGAGCTGAGCAGCAGTTCACGGTGCAGGTGCTGCAGTAGCTTGCTAGTGCATCTGCCTTCCTGGGCTTTGCAGCCTTGCCAGAATTCATCCCAGTGATAGGGATGCAATTGCTAAGGAGTTCCGGAAATGAAAGTGCATAATGTGCTGGTAATCCAAGCAAAAAGTGATATGAAAGAGTCAGAAACTGGGATCAGCACCAGTAAGGAGCACTGTGTACTGAGCAGTGTGGGTGGTGGAGGGTGTATTTTTTTAAAACAGACTTAGTTTTCTGTTCAGTCTTTGATTGGTATCTGAAAGGCCTAAATTGTAGGTTTGGGACAAAATTTAGTCAGATAAAAATGGTGGGGTTTTTTTTTTTTAAAAAAAAGGCAACATATAGAAACATTTTACATGGACCCAGAACATTCATGTCCCAGCTGATGAGTTTTAAAGAGCAGCAAGCCCAGAGCAAACCTTCCCCGCTCAGCTGTGTATTCTCCCGCAGGTGATGATGATGATGGTAAGGTTGTTTTCTGCTCTTAACCCTCCTCCTCCCTTCTGTCTGTTGCAGTTTATCTCAGTTCAGTGAAGAGAACATGATGGATCCCTACAATTTAGCCATCTGCTTCGGGCCAACGCTGATGTCTGTGCCTGAAGGTCACGACCAAGTCTCTTGCCAAGCTCACGTCAATGAATTGATCAAAACCATCATCATCCAACACGAGAACATCTTCCCAGGACCAAGGGAGCTGGAGGGTCCAGTCTATAGCAGAAGTGGAAACACTGAGGATTACTGGTATGAGGAGAAGATGAATGGGTGGATATTGCTTTGCGGATTAGCATCTAACAGTCGTGTGTCCTGCGTTGTCTGATTCTGGATTTGAGCATCTGGCCCAGCCTTTCAAAAATCTGGTTTATGGAAGAGAAGATGGCTCTGGTATCTCTGGAGAGTCATCAGCCTCAGAGCAATAAGCTGGTAGATAGAAAGTAGGTATTCAGTCGTCAGACCTAGCTCACTTATCTTGAAGGGCAAGGTTGTGCAGGGATTTTCTTGGCTGTTTGATTTTGGCAGCTACCATCCCAGTCTTTTTTTTTTTTTTTTTTTCTTTTTCTCTTTTTGCTCCTGCTTTTGCCTCTTTTTTCTCTGCTTGTCTTGAGTGCCTTTGCTTCAGACGCAGGGGTCCCTTGCAGCTGAACCTAGAAAGCTGCGGCGTGGTTTAATTTTCAGGGCAGCACTGATGGTGGGGGAGGGAAGAGGGAGGAATGCAAAATCACCGTTTCCATCCAGTTTAAAGCTCAAGAGGCCCAGCCGCGTGTTCAGTCTGAAAGCCACATCTGGAAACAATTCAGCCAGAGCGGCTCCTGTCATCTGGGGTGGAAGGTTGGGGAGTGGGGGAAGGAAAGGAGGTGTTTTCTTTCCTACTGGCCAGGCTGATCTTTCCCTCTGAAAATGAGGAATGTTAAATTGTGTCCTGCTTCTCCCCTCCTTCCTTCCCTCCTCCAGTGTCCCAGGAATGCAAATGATTATTTTCGTACAGTAAAATAAATACATTTTAAAAGTGAAGTCACTCTGGTGACAGAGCTAGCCTTGTTTCAGAGGGGCTTTAGCTATCGGCTCGTTCCACATAGGTGCGGGGAGGAGAGGCTCCTCTGTCCGAGCCGCTGTGTGCAGAGGACGTGCCAGAGCCTCTTTTGGAAATTCTGTTAATTTTACCCTTCATGCTGATGCTTTTAGCTGATGTTATATGTAAAAAGAATTGTAGAGGGAAAAAAAAAAAAAAAAAAAGGAATTTAAGAATCTTTATGACCTTAAAGAAACACATTAACTTTGACAAGAGGCTTTGTCCCATGAAGTGATGGGAATAAACCCGGCAGGACGGGTGACACTGCACATGGGTGTACAGGAGGCAGAATGTCCTGGAAGGTCATGTCAATTTTCTGCAGGCATTTGGTTTTTCTTCACTGCCCTTCCTAACCACCCTGACCCGAGACGCCGTTGAGCAGAGAAGAGTAGAAGCAAGCAAGGGAGACGGCTTCATAAAGCATCTGGTTCCCATTCCAGCCTTCTCCCAGCCCTGGTATTTAGATAGCTGTTGCTATTGCCCACAGGGCTCCTTGCCGCAACGCGTGCGAGCGGCAGAGCGAATCCTCGCAGTTCAGCTGATCCATGGGGGCACGGAGCCCGCTGTGCTGGTGATCGCCCGGTGCCACCTCGCTGGGCTGAGCCGTCCCCGTGCCAGCAGCTCGCAGGCG